CAGCCAGCCATGCTGGCTGGGGAATTCTGGGAGTTGGTCCACACATCTTAAAGGTCCCAAGGTTGAGAAACACTGGACTACAGTTAGATGAAAGATCAGTGATTGAAAGGTTAGACATTCCTTGGCATCGGTCGTATTATTTGCTTCTGCAAAATGAAGAAAACAAACTTCAGTAGAGGGAGGGGCCCAGAGGAAGATGCAGGTAGCCACAAGGAGAAATTTAAACTTTTTCCACTGTTCCTTAGAAAAACCTTTCTCTATAACTTAAGACGTAGAACCAGCTACCCAAGGGGGGGAAAGAAATCCAGGCAGTTGCCTCTGGCCTGCACCCCAAATGTTGTTCAGTATTCAGACAGCTTCATCCCTTTTCCTTTAAGGCAGTGCAACTTAACCCTCGAAATGAAATTCTGGGTTATGGACTTCGATGGATGAAAAACAACAGAGGGGGAAAATGATGCTACGAGAAGATGCATTCTCAAGAAATTGGGGAGGGGGCATCCATTGAATATTTTATTCCAGGCCTTTCTGAGTTTTGTTCTGGATATAGCACCAGTCCTGTACCTAGTCTAAAAGTTGGGGCGGGGGCAGGCTTGTCCAAAGCTTTGGGGGTCTCTATGTTTGAGCCACTCGGGCCAATCCTGGAAAGAGAAAAAATGGGAAGGGAATGATACGGGGGAGGGGGCATCTCCCCAGCTATGGATACATTTTTTTACAGACCAGGCTGACAGTAAGTTGGGGGGCTCTTTTGCTTTGGGGATGAGGTTCCAGTGGGATTTCATTCCCCCCTTGCAAATTTGAGAAAAGGGATTTTTCCCCCCAACCTCCCCTGTGCAGAATTGGAGAAAACCCTCTCGAACGGCTCTGAGTGGTTTGGTTTCAGCTAAAATACCCTTTTTCTCCTTAAAACCCAAACTCCGATGTGTTCAGTGCAACATGGACCCTGGAGGCAGGTCCTTGGGTTGGACATATAGTAGTTAGAGGTGCTCCTAGAGGGCACGCAACCGGAGAAGAAATTCACCTCTCTGAAGAAAGGTGAACCTTTGTTCACGGAGCTGGAATTCTCAAGGTCACCTGTAACTTGGTCTCCTCAGAGAGCAGAAATGAGGCAGGCCCGATTTCTGGTTTCTTTCCTCTTTTTTATATATAATTTTGATTGAAACTCTTAAAAAAGAAGATAAAAACGAATACAAACGAATAGGAAGTAAGGAAGAACAAAGGAAAAGAAAGAGGTCAAAGAGAAAGCCAAAAATGCAAGGAAACAGAAAAACAAGCTGAAGAAAAATAGAAAAAAAAGATAAAAGATACAAAACAGTGGCTTCTGATATTCTTCACGGCAGTTAGAAGTACAATTATCTTTTAACCTCTCTCTCTAAAGTGACATCACAACTCTCTTCTTTCTATAATCTATCCTGTCTCATCATCAAAGCCGTAAATCAGAAGTTCTTTTTCCCCCCATTGTTACACAATAAGACTATAAGAGGTTTCCAGTCAGCCATAAATGTAGATAGTGTCTTTCCTCTAATCCAAAAAGTTAATTTATCCATCTCAGCAAGACCGGTCAATTTCACCAACCATTCCTCCATAGAGCTAGTGTGGAATTTTTCCATCTTTGTGCATATAAGTCATCTTGCCACCGTAATCATATCTTGAAATTTAATTCTATGTTTTTGTTTTTTGTTTATTATTATTGCTGGTTTTTTGAAGGCACCTTGCCTGGAGCAGAGGTAGCAAACAGCAGCTATACCCTGTCAAATTTCCAGGGGCTTTGTGGATTAGAATCTATTCCATTGGATTAATTTTGGCTGGAAAATCAAGAAGGACTCGAAACACATCGATGGATCGGCCAGGGAATCAGAAGTCAGAGCATGCCCTTCCGTGCCAGATCTGTGACATCCAAATGGTCCAAGTGTAGGTGTGGGGCAGACTTTTGCCACACCAAAAACAGCAAGATATTTTGGGGTCTCCTTAAAGCAGTGTTGTCCAAAGTGGCCAAGGTTGGACAACACTGCCTTAAAGCAAACCCATTTGCCATGACTTAAATGGATGAATTTATGACTTTTTAAATTGTTGGATGCAATCACCAGTCAGGTGCAATGGGAAGGAATTCAGAAATGTTAATATTTGCTTTTTATTATTTGCTTTTTCTTTTTACAAGATCCTGTGCATTTCTTTGAGGAGTCATGACAAGACGTGGTTTTGTAGCAATTTTCAACTATTTCTTAAGACGATATAATGAGTCTAGTTAATAGATTAATTTAGTATATTAATATTGAATTAATAATGAAATAATGAATTTTAAATGTTATGACAATTTTAAATTCTGCTTATTTACTGATATATTCCTTTCCATGCTCTTTTTCACTTTCTTTTCTTCTTTTATGTAGTCATTTATTTTGTGATGTTTATGTTTTGGCTGCCCAGAGTCACAGATGTGAGATGGGTGGCCTATAAATTGAATAAATAAATAAGTTGAATAAAAAATATTTGAAAAAAAGAGGGAAAAAAGACTTCTTTTTCTCTGGTTTAGAGATCACAAGCTGGTGGTTTCAGTTTCACAGAGTACGGTTCATAAAGGAAACAGGGTATGTATGTATTTATAAGATTTATCAACTGCCTCCTTCCAGAGGGTACAAAATAATGTGATAGGAACCTTGCCAATCTTGGTAGATCTCACAAAGCTAAGCAGGATCCAACCGGCTTAGTAATTGGATGGGAGACCACCAGGATATCCCAGGGTCACAGGCTAGGCTGGAAAATTGGGGGGAAAGCCCCTAAAAGAAGGCAGCAAACAGCCCCTCCTGTCCCATTGCCAAGAAAACAACATGGGGTGGGGGTCGGCAAAGAGCAAAGTCATCACAATGCAACTCAAAGGAGTCTTGACGTTAAGTGGGCAGGTAGAAATGTCGCAACTCTCCAGACAACCTTTTGCACTTGTCCAGGGGCCTCGGCGCTCCCTTT